ACTTAGTGCTGTTTAGAACTCGGATACGTCGCACATCGGATTGCCTTACCTTATCGTTGATAACTCGATGGGGTAGACACGGCAGCGAGGTTATCAGTTCTGTACAGCCAATAGCACGGGGAACATGGACTTTTACACACGCAAATGACATTTCATGACCCCATGTTGGAGATATTCGCTTTAGATGTTGGCAGTGAAGGTTTAGACTAAAGAAACCAAAGGCTGTGTAAATCAAAGATGGATTGGGTGATTGTAAAACCCGAGACATAACATAGGAACCAACAAGTGGTTTCTGAGTTTTTCATTAGGATAGTTAATCCTAACTTGAGAATTCGATACTTGCTGTAATTGAACTGGCGTCTGTTTCATTCCAGGTAAAATGTCACCTACTGAAATGTCATGAAGCGTTATGGTAATTGCGTACACTGTCGTACACTGTTTCATCAGCCTCAACTACATCTAACGCTGTACCCCGCATACAAGCAAGTTCAAATGATGTTGATAACGGTTGAACCATACCAGAAATGGGTCTCAAACGTCCTTGACAATACAAAATGCGCACAAGTTGAAAACAAGTAAGCTAAGTTTTACTCTGCTTTTCATGCAAACTTAATTGCAATACAATTGTAGCGGGTACATTGTTGCCGGGGCCAGGATCATTATCACAGTTGTCCAGCCTCTTGCCTGATATATGGAGGTTGAACAACTGCTAACATCTAACGGTTGTGCGAGACCAATGTAAAAGCTTGACTGAGGAGGCGGAAGAAATTAGCATGGTTAGCACACATACCTTAGGAAGATAAAAACCCCGCCTTACCAGGCCCTGTCAATACATATTACGCGTAGGATGCGGTATCTGCCCACGCCTTACCACGCAACGCTTGTGGATAATTTCAATTTTTGGGCTGCAGTAAGACCATAATCTTGTCTCACTCCCACCCAACTCTACTGGTGTCACAACTTCAATGTATAGAGACTACTATATTCCTAAAATTCTGCATTTTGAACAATTCTAAATGACTGACCTTTTCCATCAACACCTGATCAGCAATCCGCCCTTCCTCCACATATGGAGAGTCTCATATCAAGTCTGACACTGACGACTCTCCTGCACATGGGGGCTGGCAGCTACAGCTAGTTGACATTCAGGATTGCAGCAAGACTACCTGAACCTTATATTGGACTCTGTGCCTTGCTGTTTTATTAGACATGTAAGATATGATAAGCAGACCCAATACTTGTGAGGAAAGCAGGGAACATCCCACGTAATCTGCGTGACTAATTATTTCTTCATGGCGGTGTACTCACAATGCCTGTTTATCCTAATAACTCGTAATTCACTTCCTAAATTTGCTTGGGTGAAATTAGATCCCTGCAAGGCATACATAAGTCATATCCAGCAGTGTGATGCTGTTATTGTTGAGAGGAAAGAACCTAAAAAGTGATTTTGTCGCCTCTGGTAAGTCTACAGAAGTCCCAAAGGGCCCACGGGTGGCAGTTCCATTGTAAATTGCAGCGCACGAAGATCCTTTTACACTTAAAGTATTTTCCTTATCCATCAGACATCCTTCCAGGAATTACCGAGTTGCCTGAAGTGCACATGACGAGATTATTGTCTGTGAATATAAAGCGAAACCATCACTCATAAGGACGTGGTAACTTCGATGTCACGTTTGTTGGTGAGTTTGGTGTATGGATGCTTGGTCTATCCCCCTTATCTTATACTTTAAGATTATCTTTAAAATTATCTTTAAAATTAAAGGAAAAACAGGATTAAATTGCTGTTTCCTTAATTTTGGCTCGTTACAGTTCTTTAAGCCCTATAAGTTCCCTTCAATTTTCCAGATTTTTTATGTGCGGTTTGTTAGTCTATTCTAACAATATATGGCTCAAGGTCAAAAGTAATGACCACTGTGGGGATTTGCTCAGGTGCGTTAACGGCACTGGTAATATTCGCAGACATGAACTATATGTTACAATCTGGGACACGTCGCTTCTTCTCAACAAGTTGCTTCCTCATGCGCATCTCGCAGCGGCGGGCACTCGATCATTGCATTTGTGGGTAATTCTGCCAATCCATTTGTATCGTTCTTCTGTGATCCCGTGTCGTTTGTCTAAATTTGGTTCCGGCCCTTTTCCATCTGGGGACCAATTCAACTCAGTAAGGCTGATCCCTGTGTGGACAGAGGTCAGCAAATGGGTCTCCGAAGTGTCGCCTCTGACCTTGTTAGTTTGCTATCCAGTCACAGGAAACAGCCTTCCGTGATCCCCCCGGAACTTCAAAGAGAATTTTTCCTCTCCCAATGTTTGCGGTGCCAGTTCCAGTTCCTGGCTGTACATTTGAAGTCCAAAATAGCTATGCATATCTGGCCCACTAGTTGTAAACATCCAGGGTATGAAGTACGTTTGAAAGAAGTCAGAACAAAATGAGACACCGAAAATAAGAATAAAGTATTTGCTACCGCTGATAGCAAGATATTTGAGAGGTTAGTGAGGTAGGTCAAAGTAATATTTCATATTGTATAGATACGTTGTAAGGGGCAGAATTGCAGGCTTTTAAAAGTTTAATAGATGTCAATTAGACTTGATGAATACAGTGCACGTATGTTTTGCGCACTCCAACACTTTTCATCTAAAGCGTACGAGTCTTTGTACATTGATGCCAAAGCTCTGAGTAATGTCTAAAAATGGTTCAAGTAATACTCACTAACATCCTCATGGCCCCCATTACTTGAACCCTTGAGCTTCGGAGGTACAAGTAATGGAAGTAATGCTTTTTGCTGAAGCTAATGTTACGGTAAGGTAATCATCTTGAACCATTTGACTCAGGTATAATTTGTGCCCTTGCTCCTCTACGAGTATGTTGACATGACCAATAAGGAGTCATTATGCATTCTACACTGGGGAAAATTACATACAGTCTCGACGTTTTCATGTTGAATGGTATGAATAGTTGGCTTCGTGAATGTATCAGTTTCCCAGATTCAGCAGCTGGTGATCGATGTTGGAAAATATCAGTTTTATAGATTCTAGGTCTAGGTCATTCTGCAAGCCAATATGTTCATATTTAACCTGCCCCAAAGGCTTTGTAATTATTGAGGCTGGTTCCTCTGCCTTGGTTTATTGAGATTATTCATCTTCTTGCTCATCCCCAGATTTAATATTGATTGGCTTGTAAAAATTATGGTTTTCAATATCTGGATTTTATAGGGCAATCTGCTGTGTTCGGGAACAGGGGACAATTTTACCCATATTTCCAATTTTTGTGTCATCCTTTAGGGCATACGTACGTACACTCTTGCGATTCACTACCTATACCCAATATCTATTATCCAGCACATGTTCTGACTTGGCGTGAATGTAAGAAGGACCCTAGTGGTAGTAGTAGTCCACTGTATTCTGCTGCTGCAGTAGCTTGGCATCCTGCAGCAACAATCAGTACCCTAACAATCAGGACTCTAGTAGACACGTACTAAGTCGTATCATATTAGAATCCACAGCGCAATGAATAATACTCGTCAAGCGTAGATACAAATGGCAGGGCGGCTGACGTGGCTTGCCCTTCATTTGACCTTGGCACGCTCTGTTGCAGGTTGAATCTGTCTCCATGTCCCGGGGCTATCATCGAAAAGTAATCAAGTAGTGGAATTGAAGCCAACAGTGCGTCTGTGGGATTAAACTCCGAGCACTGCAATCCACTTCCTCAACTTTTTATCGCAACGCAAGAAAATTAGTACTTCAAAAGATATGGCTCTACTAAAAACCGTACTTTGATGTAGTCTGTTCAAAGAAATAACCTGTTGGCTTCAAAAGCAACTTACTTTGAGATGAAAGAGAAGGAAGTCTTAGATAACAGTATCGGTATCACTATCCTTTTTAACACAATGTACCCGAATATATAGTATATCCCTTTGGTCTGATTCCAAGCTTTGCAATAGAAGCATAATAGGGTTTCTAATGATTAGATCTTATGGCTTCCTTTGCAGTGAAATTGCGTTCTTGTGTGATATGGAATGCTAGTCTTCATGGGCATATATGGGAGAATATGACTAGTTTAGCCGACCGCTAGTTGCAGAAGGAAGTGTGAGTTATTTTGTTTAAATTTGTTATTTTTAAGATTCCAAATTGTTCGACTTTGCTTAGACAGCTGTTTCGTCATTAAGTGCAAGTCATATTCCATGTACTGGCTCATGATCATACATCATAATGGTGATTTTATACTAATTATAGTTTCTTGTTTCTCCTGGTGCAAAAGTTACATATATGAATGACGTCAGTAATATGACCTATGCATAACGCTGAGGCAATATCTGTGGGAGATGCTTAAAGGAGTACACCAGTACTGTGCACTTTAACGTGGCAATATTCTCAATTGAAGAAGCATCTTGTGAGAAAGATGTTCGAAGGTCTACTTTCTGGTGTAAAGGGCCAACTCTTTCCATGTCTGTTGTCCCAAGTGTTAGCAGACGCCATCGACAACGATGGGTGAAAGCTGCATAAAAATGTATAAAGAAAATGACATTTACATTTTTTTCTACATTTTTAATATCATAAAACGTTGAAGGCACAGATCTCTCCAGCAGACGCTGGTAGGCAAAATACATAGTAAACGTATGATGGGGGTTTGTTGATCAAGGATCATTATTATTATAATAGACCTGTAGGTTTTCATTAAGTGATAAGTCTTATACCATATGCATGCAGTTCTTATCATAAATCAGGTTTTTATACTTAACCAATATATTATGATGGCTCATTGGAACTACATAACAGGGACGGGAAGGGACTGCTAAACAGGATGATTCCAAAAACAACATCCTCCAAATATAGCAATAAGCAAGACTAAAGTTTAGACATTTCCGACTTTAATGCCATAACTGTAAACCTAGCCAAATGAATATTTACCCATTCCGGATAAGGTAATCTACATTATATCCTGAGCATATGTGTATAATGATTTTGTAATGTGACATGGCATAACATTTAACTGTTAGATAATTAATACTAATTATTCAATTACTTGAAACTTGATTTCAAAACGAAGGAAAATTATTAGATGCAAAACATGTATTTCATTACCGATCAATGTCTTTGGACCGTCCGCTTTTAGTTTAGTATGTTCATACGCCGTGGTGGACAACTGTATGGTCAAACACAGAATCCGCTGCAGTTGGGCGTGAAGACTGTACATGTAGTAGTATAGTGTCATGCCGTGGGCTTGGACTGTTTCTGGCACTCTGTCAGTACACTGTAGGTGTGGCCATCCTCAGCCGCTGGTAATAGGATAGATACAGTTCAAACTGATAACAGATCAATGAATCCAAATTACGTCTGTCAAATGAAAAACTAGAACGATAACATTTGCAAAGCAGATGCGTTATGTTTACCTTCGCATTTGGTCTGCTCTGTTAATTCGCCAAAAAACAGTTACTCAAGCAACTGGATATGATTTTGAAGTTGCTTGAGTAACTGTTTTTTGGCATATCGTATTACCTGGATGTCTAACCTTCATCGACGTGCTCTGTTAATTCTTAATAAAACACATTCAAATATATGGTGAAAAGAGTCTAAATCCCTCCTACTATAAAACTGCAACATTACGTAATCCAACATCAGTTACCATATGGTAACAGATGGCCTGGTGGAGGTCATTGACCAGGTCAGTGTTTGGAACGGAATAAGAAACAGCAAAAACAATGTTTTCCTTCGGTAAACATAATTCGAGTGTCATTACCTTCTGAGGCAGAGATGAAGACGACGTAGTTGGAGGGAAAGAGCCCCACCCTGCCTGCCGTGAAACCCAGGCACCAATCACCAGCTTCTCCTTCTAGTACTTCAATCACATCTGCCGCCTCCAGACGTAACTCGTTATCGTCTCTGGGTTTGTAATCATACATGGCCCTGGCGTATCTTCTTTCTGTAGATTGACGAAAGAAGACTATTTTCACTTTATTTGAAAAATTATAAGCACACTCTTACATCAATCATTAGTTAGGGTTGAAGAGTATGTCATCGAGTTTTAAATTCCTCTTCTTGTGTTTACTGATATCCCAAATTCAATTCTACGGCTTCTACGGCGTTCTATGCCCATGTGATTCAAGGAAATAACTAAGAATATGTGTATGGAACATGAATAATAGAAGACTATAGCTACCCATTTCCAAGTTTCCTCTGAAAATTCCTATTACCACATGCTGCAATCATTGAATACAACACGTTAAAAAATTAATTCATACCTTGGGTGTTTTTTCTCAATGTATCATTAATGCCATCATGGTTCACCGGTTGGTTTTCCCGTTTGTCTGAGGGCAAAAGAATAATGAAGATGCCCTTCAATAAATGGAAACTACCTGAGATGCATTATGATAAGTGAATTATTACACCCATAACACATTATTACACCCATAACACATAATCATCTTCAAAATCACACAGCTTTCCTACCCCCCCCCCCCCCCTACCTTGTAGTGAGAACTGAAACAGCGAATTGCCATTACGGGAAGATAGCCATTTATCCGGGCTCAGTTGGTTACGTGCAGGGTAGACCCGTCAAGGCTATTCCTAGTAACGGCAGCTTTGCCCTGCCAAAGCAATTTTCTCGTGTATTATATGATGCCAGAAATGTGAAAGTGATGACGGCTATATCTGGAAGAGCTTTGTACCTGGTGCGGCTGAGTGTCTCCCTGGGTCTTGACCCTCATTTGTACTAGGTGTAGCGTGATCCCTTCTTGATCCGATGTCGTAGTAAAAGGCGAATTTCTTCCTCTCTTCCTGTTTCCGCCGCCTTCTCAAGAAGTATATGAGGAGGCAGAGACAGATGAGGAACCACAAACCGCTGGCAGTGGCCCCAATTACTATGGCAACGACTGTGGTGGTGATTTCTTTTTGAAGGCCTGCGGAAACAAATGTTCAGGTCGGACTCAAAGATGCAGCTTCTCCTCATAACTACGACTACAAATACGTAGGCGTAGGGATGTCTTTCTTCAAATTAGTTTGTGACTTATACTTTTTATGTTTCTATATTTGATTAACGAGACCTCTCGTACTGAAAAAAACTAGAGGTCAGAGATCTCATGCCTTCGTCAGAGGGACATTGTTCTAGAGAAACGAACATGTGTATTCTTTACTTTTTTTGATAATCAATTTGGTCCCTATATTCCTCTCCCTTTGTATTCTACGGAACATCGCCACAGCTACAGATTTACAGACGCGCCGTCAACCGTCCACTGCAGTGACGTAGGGACCCACCACGAAGCCCATTTTTGCACTCAACCTTGGTCTCCCAACAGTAACCTGCCTGCCAAAAATCATGAACATTAATCCATGCCTTCAAGAGTTATGCCGCTAAATCCACAGTATCCCACACTAAAGCCCAGTAAGGGTGATTTTATACCCTTCTCACGAAGGCAATGAACTACATTTGTCATGATGATTTGTTGCGTTACGATGGATATTTCAGGACATCAGGCTTAAAAGATTACTTACCCGTGACATCTAGTCTTGTCGTCCGAATCTGCCTCTGCCCGACCCCGTTAGTTGCTGCACATGAGTACGTTCCACTGTCGTTAGCGTCCACACTGTTGAGGACAAGGGAGCTCGTACGAACATCGCCAGACAAGACGTAAGAATTGGCACTCAAAAGTCGTCCGTTTTTAGACCACGTGATGTTCGGAGTGGGGTTGCCATCGGCAACGCATTGGAAAGTCACGTGGTCGGAAACGCTGACTTCTACAGGGTCGGAAATACTGATAATAGATGCAGGATCTGTGAGGAAAAGCAATTAAAATGATTGATATCATTGGCAATATCATGGTGATACCATTGGCAATATCATTGTGTGAAATAGTGTAACCAATGCCCCATACGCTAAATGAAAAATTTCTCTTAGTATACCTCTAAAGGTGCCTCAAGGTGTAATGTAACATATTAGTGCTATTGTGATTTTTCTTGGGGATGTCTGCGGCTTGTAACTTCCATTTGGTAAGTAGGTGGAGGTTCCACTTGGCAGATCATCAAAAAGATCTGTCTTGACCTCACAGAGCGACCCAGACGAATGGGGTACTCAGACATAAGATCGATATGGTGTGAGGCTGCTTCCAAGCCTTCTTAATCCAGAAAATGGGAGGCGAAAGCTCGGTGTTATTACCAGCGACAAGTCACGAACATCAAAGGATGTGCTAATGGTCAGTTAATGATCCTTACACTAGACTGAACATTTTTTTACCCTCCGCCTTTTACATAACTTATTCACCCTCAGTTCTACGCTACTGATATTATTTGTGTGTTGTTGACGATGTATTTTCAAAGGGCTTGTGTATTTTAGGACAATGATGTTGTACCGAGGAACACAAATTATTGATAGGGAACTCACATTGTACTCTAACCATCATACTTGCAGCAGCAGACCGCACGGGGTGTTCTACAAAACAGGTGTACAGTCCGGCATCATTTCTAGTGACGTGGCGGATAACCAATGATGACGACTTTGCGTTCCCGCCAGAGTACTTCCCCTCGTAGCCGTTAGCTTCGATTCTTCCGCCATCTTTTCCCCAGTAAAGTGATGTAATGTTGGGTTTGGCGTCCCTCACAGTACACATGAGAGAAACAGTCTTTCCCCACGTAGTGATGTATGGATTGCTTGGTCCAACCTCTAGCCTGGGTGGGACTGTATCATACATTATCAATGTGTTAGTAAATCGACTTTTGGGTTTCTGAACTTGAAAACCATTTCGGTAGTTTATCAAAGTATAGCAATAAACGCAAGCTACATATGCTAACCCTATTACGCATACCATCAGAAATTGATAGATAGATAAAACAACGTCATTGGGCAAAATACATTTCTAGTATACATGTAATCCAAAGAAAAAATCAGTTATATACAATGGCTGCCATTTTAATTAATTATAGCTACAAACTAACCATGTAGTTCCAGGCGAATGAATTTCTCGTCGGTTCCCCGTTCGTCGGTCATGATTGACAGGGCGTACATCCCCTCGTCATCCGCCGTCGTGCGATCAATCCGCAGGGAGGCTTGTCCCACAAGCTGGGCTCTCCCCTTATAGACGCCATAAGCACGCCTTATGTTCAAGTCAGGAACATAGGAGAACACACTTCTTCTCTGCTGGGAGGTGCTGTCGATGTCAACTTTGTGCCAAATGATGGAAATGACTCTGTAACTGGTGGAGTACTTAGCCGGCAATGTGGCAGTATCACCCAATGCCGTTTTTGCCACGTCAGGAAGACGAATCAGCACAGCATCTTCAGTTGCGCAATCTGTAACCAGAGATTTGATACGTACTGTTATAATCTAAACTTTTCATCGTGACAGCTATCTCTTCCTTACCGTCTGGCTGAAGACTATGTTTAAGATCATTTGGGATGTTTTAGCAATGCCAATGGCTGTGTCTGCAATATGAGTAATTAAAAACATTTGTCATATACGAATGCCATTATTGGATTTTGGCTGTGATTAGAATTTCTTGTTATCCTATGTAATGTACCATATGGCGTTCTGTTGTACTGGGACGACGTCTAGTGAGAACAAACGTCAATTTCCCGTTCTTTATTTGCCTATGGAATGATACAGGCTCGTTGTGGTGTTGATCTCTTCTATTATATATTGAGATAATAGTTGTTAAACGTATTCAACCGCACTGGGCATATAAAGCTTTCATAAATATTAATACAAATATAGGGCACTACGAAGGGCAACTGTCAGTCTTACTTATTGCTAGGAATGTTTCGCCTGAGGGAATTTAAATGGTCATCATATATAATGTTGTCCAGAACATAATGAACGATAAACGGTTGTCATTCGTGTTGAGTTGACCTCCCTCCATGACGTATGCGTCCACTCATAGCTAGGAAAGGTTATACAGTAACCTGCAGATGATCAAATACCGATATGCATGTCGTAAACATCCATCCATGAAACGCGAGGATCATTTGTGTAGATCTTGCCTTTCGGAAACCAGATAAGGCAGGCAACCTTGGAGAACAGTACTGCGAAATAGATCAGATGGTTTCCTACAGAATACGCCAATGCATTTCCCTTCCAGAGAAATCGCAGTGGGGGTGTTACACAGTGGAATGAGACCAATGCCTGATCTACGGCTAAACATACAGAAGCTGCAGCTATATTACAGAATATTCAAGTAAGCCAGGCGGCGTGAGGGCTATTTTACAATGGGCACAGAAGGAAGTGGCGCATCTGTGTACGTAATGGTGTGTAAAATTAAAATTATCGGGAGGCCATAAATATAGAAGGATCTTCCAACATGTTAACAGCGGGAAGCTTTACTTTCCTTGCCGCGGCTTCTAAGGAAATATGGGTTATAAAATTTATATATTCAATTTCAGTCAGAATTTCCTATCATATGATACGTATTATATAAAATCTATGACTTAATTTCACTAGATGTACGTGTTCTCCCAATGCCGTTTCTATCCAAGAGATACTAGTGAAGTATAATAATAAAATCCAATATTTAAGGTATAAAGACAGACGCATAAGAAATCTGTGTATTTTATCAGAGTAAACGCCTGAATAGTTAACGCCTGAAGGCGTTTACCTTTCTTGAAAATGATTATTATGCCCGTAGTTTTGAATAGCACTGCTATGAATATCTTCAGCACCTTTAGGGAAAATATGTTAAAACTGGCACGAAAGTTAACGGTGGCACATAACCTTAGATTTACATAAAGGCTAATGGCACTGTTATCACATCGTAATGTCACTAAAAGCGCCTTCAGTCCAAATGCAAATTACAGAAATAACCTTAGATATAAATGAAATGACAGTTTGACCAAATGAAACACTCCAGTTGTGTCTTAATGGGTCCCCGTCTTGTGATAATGCCAGAAGGTTGACGCCTACGTTTATGGCTTTAATAGAAGTCTAACGCTGTAAGTAGTGAAACGTGAAAATTAGGTGTTATCTGATCTGACCGAAGACAGACGGCCCGGCTTCACCAGTGCAGTCATCCGTGAATGTCATCTGCCCGGTAGTAAAACACGACCAAAAGTCCAGAACTGGGGACTTTGCATCTAGATGACTGCAATTACGTGCCTTGATCCCTCGGGGTTTGGCGACAAGAAAATTTATTTGACTGATCGTCTTAGATAAGACGTAATGTATGTAGCGTCTGGCATTTAAGCTCATATTTCAGTGGCAGTCCTGTGAATCACGTTGTCTTCCCTCAAACTAAACTTGGCAAGCTGTCTAGCATACTTGGTAATATTGTTGATTTAAACACCCTTTCTGATAATTCTATACAATATTTAGTTCTTCGGGGTAGTTTTCTTTGTTCGTATGATACCAACTGCAAAATAATGTTAGCCGCACAAGATTATATAAGATAAACAAAAAGATTCTAACTGTATGTGTCTTCTGGGATGGGAGGTTTGTCACTCACGCGAGGTCTCATGTGTTTTTAAATGTCTTGTAAAATATTTTTCTTTTATTGTAAAAGTGACTGCGAGAATATAAGTTGTACCTAACTTGAGTTCGCAGTCACTTAGTCCATGTCTTTTCATTTGTAATCATCGTGTTTCTGAATTAAAAAAAAAACAACTAAACATTTGCTCACGGAAACACTTGTGACTATTACAGATGTGTAGGGGAAACCATCTCATTGGACTACTTCCAAGACGTCTCTGATCTTAACGTGCTTTAAGATTATGAAAAATTGTCTGCCCCGTCAATCTTGAAATAATGAGAGCTGTATTAAGTATGCCAACGGCCCATCGTGACGGCTGAAACTATCGTTGATGTACAAGCCTTAGTAGGTTAAGATTACTTTATCGATTGAGTTTTGGGAAGTCTGCCAAAGATGTGGGCCGAGTTACTGCCGAGCTGATCTTATCTTCCGGCGCACGCAGAACCTGGTGATGCCAGTGGTCATATTTGATCTAGGTAAAAATAATATTTCATTTGGGATGACAGTGACGCTTGGTTTGACGTTGCGAAGATATGCCCTGGTGAATCAGTAGACCCCAAGAAGATGAAATGTTCTCAAACTGTAGCCTCCAGTCACCTCATAATTCACTGCGTGCGCGGGATATCGAACTGGAAAAGGCAGTCCCGAGTGACAAGAGCCACGACGGGGTGCTTCAATTACATGGATACTATAGGCTCCAACAACCAATTGTCCGAAGTGCGATGTTTATGACAGATTCATGAGCTACAAGTAAATGAGATTTTTCCCTTGAGGCTATGGCGTGCCAGGTCGAGATTGCCATTTGCACGATTCTTTTCTACAGCATTCGATAAATACACCAATATTAATAATATGATTTAGTTTTAAATGATCTCTACTAATCATCTGTTATTCATCATCATTATCTTCATCATCTGTTATTGGTGTCCACATTGTTATCACCATCCGCCATTCGTGACGGTCATATACACAAATGAACAAAAACGCAGATGTACATCTTGCTGAATTCTATTCGTGGCAAACTCATGTTCAAATTTTTTGTCTACTTTAAAAAAAACTAATCACGACTTTCAAAGTATAAAGAGAATCAGTAAGCCAGTTCTGTCGTAAAAATAACTACCAGATCATAACTACCAATAAAATACCATGGCTACATTTCGAACGCATCGTAAGGTCGGCATTCTAGCTTGAGATAAGGACATAGAACCTCATGCGTGCTCCATTCCCATCAAACGTAACTGTATCTTGGGACTACATATCATCTGTATTTCCAGCTTAATGTTCCGAACACCTGTGATAGCCTTGACAATAAAATTGTACGCCGAAGGGTTCGGGGCCAAAAAATTTACAGCGAAGAACAAATTTCCTCTGACGTGGCAACGCACCATATAGTCATCTAGTCAAGAATATGATAATGGCATGAAAAATAAATGTACAAAGGCCGACCTCTGTTATTGGGAAATGTGATTGCAACAGATGAAGGAGAACATTGTTACTGAAGCTGCGATCCTTCATTCAAAGTACACATATCCACCAAGGGACCTTGAAAGCCCGGATGTGTCTGAGTAACGATTTATTGATTAACACCTAACAAGTGCAAGTTGCGATGAAAAATTAAAAGGATCTCTGTTTGATGATGCCGATATGTTTAGAACCCTAGTTTGCTTGGGGAGAATCATTTCTTATAAGAGCTTCCTTTCTCAATTTAGAGTTGCTTAATAAACAAGTTCGATTGGATAAGATGAATGCCATTAATTACTACGTATGTGCAAATCATGGGACTGTGTACAGTCAAGTAACATGCCTATGTTAGTCAAGGTAACTACAAATATGGATAGAAGATAAATTTAGCGTTTTTACATAATTTTTGTTCTTTCAAGACAGCTTGGTAGTTGTCTTAAAGATCATTCAATCTTACTATATATATGTTCGATTGATCTTACCTTTTAGAAGGATTGCCGCGATGAGTATCTGGATCAGCAGCATCTTGAAGAGTCTTCGTGCTGCAATGAGAGTCACATGCCGGTCACAAGCTGTGCAGCACGTACATGTACAATCATATAATATATATGTAAAAATGTTCGCATGAGGACACACACGCACACATACACCTGCACAGTGAAGGATAGATTTCGCCCACTGCCTCGTGGTTCTAAGACACATAGAGATTCGCAGACCAAATCTAGACACACATGTATTCAAGCACACTCCACACCTTGATGCATATCCCCAGCGAACACGCCCAAGTCGTACCTGCTATTCATATAACACCGTCAAAGTACCGTAATTGCGGCCGCCCAAGTAGGAAGTCCCTTGTTGATTGCTGATGGCAGCCCTGACTCGCGGCGTCTGAACGCCCTGTGAGCGCGGCCAACTCACGCAACCCTCACTTGCACAGCTTGAGCCCAGCAGTTTCAAGGCTGCCCTTCTGTTTGTACTTCCGCATTCCCATAAAGTGTCATCTAAGGTTTGTTAGGATTTTACGGAGAAAAAACTGAATGTGGTTCAGGAGTGGTTAACAAGTCAGTACGTCCAATTAGAACGTACAATGTCATGTATATGAGAAATAAATGTATTTTTTTGTGCGGTTTATTTTCTCTTCCTCCATTGAGCCACCGTTCCTGATCAGACAGTTTAGCCTCGGGAATGGGCAAATCGATCTTGTGTAATGAAAAAATCGACGTCTGGCTCGTACGTCAAAGAGAATACTATTCTCTCTACGTAAGCATGAAAACAAATGTGTTATGTTTCCTTCTTCTATTAGCTCATAGCAATTACAGCATTTTCATTATGGTGCTCATGCATATCCGTCTGCAACCACCATTATGAACACTTTTCTTTCTGTATAAGACGGATGAGGAAGTGCGATGATAGGATTAGTTCAACTGAGATAAGCAACCGTTAAATGAAAAAGATGTGTATCTAAATGTTTTTAAAATGCAAGGTACACGCCAGGATGGATCACAGGATAGACTGTATCATTGTCTGTAACAGGGAGGGATATAAATGAAAGCCTTTACAACTTTTGCAAGAACTTTCTCGTGAATGTCATTGGCAATGGTATTGACAAAGGGGGTTAACGTGGCCAAATAGCCCGGAGCTTGAAGAATTACCATCGAAATAACAGCGCCCATCTCTAGAGGTATCTTGGACTCGGAGGAGACAGGCGTCCTCCGGGTTAATCTCAGTTCAACACTGAGAAGTGAAGGCAAAATGAAGTGTAAATCCCTTCATGGGGTGAGATAAGATACGATCTAGACGTCTATTCATGGCGTTCTGACACTCTTAGGTTAGGTCGTAAGCATTCCTATAACATGCCAACGTATGAAAATATGAAACGTTACAGTTTAGCGTCACAGTTTGATCATCTTGCTATTTGCTCTTTTAGCTAATATAGTACATCAAATCATTAAGCTTGATTTCGGGACATTACGACTATTTCGGCAAAGTTTAAATACATATGTTGCTTTCCAAACGCGCACGCTTTATAGTAAATACAAGGGCCTTTCAATTCACCAGTCTTGGCACCGTCTTTGGGTGTACTGTTAGATATGATCTTTAATAGAAGAGACTTCTGCCTTTTCACTCACGATTTCTATGAGTTAACTCGCTTGCTTACTGACTCACTATGTAAGCTACTGTGAGTAGCCTACTTGAGATGTGTATAATCCATACAGGACTAAACAGATATCAGAAGAAAGGTGTCGATAAAGTGGAGCTGAGTGATAGATTAGCGCCTCCGGATTGCTGCCTTGCGCATTCTAAAGCGTCTATTAAGTGGATGAAACTTGCCATGAATTCAATCCGTGAATGATCTCTATGCATGTACAAATCTGTGACCTCATTAGGGTCATTCGGGGAAACCTTTAGTCAATTAAAGTTCATTAGTCAATCGTTGGAAGTTTTCAGTTAGTTAACAATTAGCACACAGCACTTGTGACAGGCTCTTCTCATTCTACAATTTCATCTAACTTTTGATAACTTTAGTTACGCTATGATATTAAGAGGTCAACTTGATGTTTTTTTCTTTCAGATCTTAGGCATTACAGATAAATGTCGCCCTGAAAATGTCTATTTTAGACAACAGTCGGATTATCTTTTTTTAGATAAAGTACACGACAATCAGGTGTCTTAATGTATGACAAGTCCTCAGGTTGCAAGCAGTAAAAAAGAATCGGGTTCTCATAATGAGTGATTTGATTTTTCTTTAGACAATATCATTTACTATACATTAATTATCTTAATGTTGTATTGTCCAAAAAAAACCTGGTGCAAGAGGCGAAATGTTTTAAAATAAGTAGCCATTGTTACCAACACAATAAAATGCAACCCCTTCCCTACTGATACAAGATACATTCAATGTAACCTTGAGAGTATTCCCTTACCTATTATGTGTATGCATTATTCTCAACTTTACGATGCTTCCTGTACCTTATACTGATTTGAGTTATCATAAACCATGTTTCATTGACGACGGCTTGCACTGTTAAATAGTGAAATTATAATCCAATCATAACGTTTCTGTCTGAGAAGTATTCGACAATACTCCGGGGCATTAGATTGTTTCCTGAATTTCAGGAGCAGACGAATGCAATGTCGCATAGATCTACAACATCTGCCATGTATATGGATTTAATACCCCGGCATTATGAGCCCGTATTTCTTGGTTTGTACCTTTACATAAAAGAGATGGCAGAGATCAAATTGCTCTAGGAGCAGGATGTGCCGTGGTCGTTAAGCAAGGTTGGAAAAATAAATCAGACGATCAAAGTTTTCCCACTTTCATGATGAGACATCACTCCATCAGCCCTCTAGGCTGCCATCCC